ACACATAAAGTGAGGTGGAGTACACCAATAGCACTGGTCTGGCACGAAAACTTCTTGGACCCTCCTAGGCCGCATTTTTACATGTGTTAAAGAGTGGTCACACTAGATTTTAATCAAGCAAAATCGTTTCTATGCAGCAAACCTCTTTATATAACAAATAATCAGGAGTCCGACAGTCATGGGGAAACCTGGAAACACTAGGCCTGGGGAATTTTTTTAATAGTCAATAATAGCAATAATAATAATCTAGTAGTAGTAGTAGTAGTAGTAGGCAATTTATAGATATTGATCTAAAAACATGCATAGTGATTTGGAAACTTGCTTGCAAGCCATAGTTAGTGGAAAGGTTATGAAAAAATCATGGAAATTCATTGGTCAAGATGTATGGGATCACTGAATAATGTGTTCAGAATGTTAAATATACAGCAATTTTACAACACTGCAAACTATGAAGCTTGTGTTGATTTGCTAACTAAACCACCTAAATTAGAGTTTTTGTGTGTGTGTGTGTGTGTGTGTGTGTGTGTGTTTTCTTTTCGTCCAATGGAAATCAATGGTCAAATGTTTGGTGACTAACATTCTTCAAAATATTTTATGCTCTGCAGAAGAAAGAAAGTCAGTCATACACACAAAATTACGGTTCTAAAGGGGATTTTCACAGTGAAGCCATAGAAGAACAATTTTGAACAGTTCTTAAAAGAACCATTTTTTCCTATTTCAAGAACACTTTAAAAATCCAAAGAACCCTTTTCCATTATAAAGAACCACAACATTTTGTGGAATGGAGAGATTCCATGGATGTTAAAGGTTCTTCATGGAACCAAAAAAGTCAATGAAGAACCCTATTTTTAGGAGTTCAGGTTTGGAAATGCACAAGGGTGACTAAATGATGGCAGAATTTGTATTTTTGGGTGAACTATCCCTTCAACAGACAGAAAAAGATAATGTTTTGGTGGTTTCAGACACAAGCGTTTTGTCGTTTCCATTTTTAAACTCGTCTTTGCTTCCACACCTCCCTGCTGAAATCCATGTATATCAGTCACTTCATAACAGGGGCTATTCAAAGTGGCCGTTATTCATACACAAAACTATGCACCTGCACACACTTTTTTCACTTTTTTCACACATGACTAGCAGCAGGCTTTCCCTTTTCTTGCTGATTTTTCACAGCATTTTCTCTTTTTTCTCTTTGATTGAGTTAATAGCCTGGATCTAGGCTGTCACTTTCTTCCATTTCCACTATGCTGGAGACTAACGATGCCTAGCCAATCCAAGGAAGCCCCCATCGAGACTCTTTCACACGTTTGCGGCTTCTCTTTCGCTCTTTGCCGGGGCCCCATTGACCCAAGGTGTGAGGGGCCTCTCTGGGTCTGTGGTCGGGAGGCCCCTTTGTCCTTTCTGGGGCCCCTCGGCCCCCATGTGGCCCTCTGTGGGGCACAATGCACTCTCTGCTGGAGGTTGGCCCCTGGATCGCTGCTTTCAATCCCACAATGCCTCACTGCCAAAAGGGGGTAATAGGATTTGAGGATTGTGTGCTGGTGGGTCTTCTGAAAAATATGTCATTGTCATTTTTTTCACTCTCTCTCTCCTCATTTTTTCGGTTCCTCTTGCATAATATAATATAATACTGTATAATATAATAATATAATATAAGATATCAAAAACGAAAACTAACATTAAAATTACAACTGAAAATCAAAAAATAAAAGCTAATATAAATATTAATAAATACTGTACAAATAATACTAAAATAACACTGCTAGTGGCACAGAAATAATATAATATAATATAATATAATATAATATACATTTGAAACTAGTGGTCAGTATTGTTGACTAAATCGAAAACTATTAAATGAATACTGTGTAAATAAAACTAACAAGGCTAGTGGCATGGAAATTGCAGATGTGTCTGATGTGTGTTCAGAAACAGTCCTGAATGTGATCCTGTCACTGTTCTCATGGTGCAGAAAGCATCTGCGGTCTGTTTGGCCCGGTTCTGGTGGTCCTCTGGTGTCTCTGTGACCAGCTGTTGATGCTGTATACAGACAGTGGTCGTGGGTGGCTTCAGATTCCCCCGGTGATGCTCAATGGACGTGTCTGAGTTTGGCTGCGGCTGAATTGATTGGTGATTATTTGGCCGTGTCTGGGTTTGTGGGGTCTCGTTTGGGTCGATATGAAATGCTGAATTGTTGAATCGCTAAATGTGTCTTGGCCGCGATGAGGTCTCTGCGGTGGTCGTGTTGGTTTTGTCCATGTCTCGGACGCCGGCTGTGACAGAATTGAACTGCATTGGCCGTGATCACTTGGCCCGGGTGGGAGGATTGTGAACTCTGTCTTGGCCGGGATCGCGAGATGACCATCGTGGCCGATTGTGGTCGGTTCGGCGGCGCTCCGGGCAGAATCTGTTTCCTGACATCTCTGTCGGGCCTCCTGTGAGCTCCCTGACAGCAGTGCTGAGAATGACGGAGCGGAAGGGGCACCGGGTCACAGCTGCAGAGACCAGAGGGAGAGGGCGAAGGGAAGATAAAGAAAGCGTATGTGTGTAAGACAGACACAAAGAAAACGCAAGAGAGCGAACAGGGTGAGAACAGAGAGAGAAAGACTGTGTGTTTGTCGGAGATAAAGACAGAGAAAGAGAGGGGAAGTAAGAGATTCTGTGGTGGGACTGAGAGTTTAGAGGGGGGTCAGTGTCAGCCATGAGTCTGTCAGTCACAAACCAGCGCACACAGACCCCAAACAACCAACTCCAGACATCAGACCCTCTTATTCACGACTTAATGTTCATTCATTCATAAATATTCTGAATTAGGAGTGAAAAGCAGCCTGTCGTGGATGGGCAGAGGATGATGAAGAGGACTGTTGTCCTTTTGAAACATATTTTTCTGTCACACACAGAGACAGGATGTACTGCAGCCAATCGAAAAAAAAATTGAAATCGCGATTGGCCAAGTGCAATAATTAAACCTCAAAGGGGGTGTGATTTAGTGAAATAAATATATCGCCTACATGCATGTTACAAAAAATAAATAAATAAATAAAAATAAAAATAAATGTGTGGACTGAAAGATGAAGTTAAATTTTACTTTCAGTCCACTTTGAAGGTTCAAGGTTCAATTTAATAAAATAAAATAATAAAATAAAAAAGTGTGTTGAATGGTTGCTGAACTAAAAAGTGGATTAAAAAAAATCACTTTTCGTCCACTTTGAAGTTCAGGTGCAATGTAAAAGTAAAACTGAGCCCTTACTATTCAGTTTGCTTTTGGTGACAAAAAAAAAAAAAGTGTGTTGAATGGTCGCTGAACTAAAAAGGGGATTAAAAAAATCACTTTCAGTCCACTTTAAAGTTTATGTGCAATGTGAAAGCAAAACTGAGCCCTTTTTATTTAGTTTGCTTTTGGTGATATATAAATAATAAAATAAAAT